GAACGCATCATCTTCCACCCCTGTTTCTATCGAATTTGCCTTCCTTTTTTGTTTCTGTCTTCCTAGGCTCAAAGGACTTCTATATAGAGGCAACACTCTTCAATTGTGTGTGATAAACATGTACAGTCAGTGCAGTGAGCATGATTTTAGAATATGTAGCCATAGACTTTTAAGAAGTGTGGTAGTGAGTGGAGTGCTGCTTTTTTCTAAAGCAACAACACAAAAATCAGTCAACATTTAAGTTTCGAAAAGCCAAAAGGAAGGCCAAATAAATAATGTTCTTTTAAAATGCTGCATGAGAAGTCTGATACCAATGTAAAAATAATTCTGATGGGTGGAAAGAATTACGTCACTAATTGGTTATATTTTTCATAAATAGCAATTGATGACAACAATAAACCGTCTAATTATTGGAAATGAATAAGGGGGCTTGCTTTCTATGATTTTACAGATCTTCTGGGATTTCATTTGCAAGCACATTTTATAAAGACACTTAGACCAATGAAGTGGGAACTGAAGTTCTCAGTGAGGAAATAAAAAGAAAATCTTCAAGAATTTTCATTCTGTTTATAAAAATCATTCACTCGATTGGTTTTAGAGTTAGTAAAATTCAAGGACATCCTATGACATCAAGTTTTACTTTGACAAAAGTAGAATAATTCTAAAATTTTCTACAAAATTCTGACTATTAAAAAAACCAGCTCTATAATAATCTTAAGATTTAAGAACCAGTTAGCAAGACAGAGTCCATGAGAATGTTATTTTATATAGTGACATTATTTTCTTAAAAATTTAGCTCTGATACCACTTTTCAGTATTTTCAACTCGATTTTTTTTAATCTTAAAGCTGCCTGAATCGAGATGTATGGGTAGTTTTAAACTTTAGAAGTCTTTAAAAAGTTCACCATTGACTTCCTAATTAGCCTAAGACATGAAACCTATTTGACAAAAAAGTAGCATCTACATTGTGCTAAAAAACGCAGATCGAACTTGTATAAAGAAGATGACATTGGGGCGCCTGGGTGGCGCAGTCGGTTAAGCGTCCGACTTCAGCCAGGTCACGATCTCGCGGTCCGTGAGTTCGAGCCCCGCGTCAGGCTCTGGGCTGATGGTTCGGAGCCTGGGGCCTGTTTCCGATTCTGTGTCTCCCTCTCTCTCTGCCCCTCCCCCGTTCATGCTCTGTCTCTCTCTGTCCCAGAAATAAATAAACGTTGAAAAAAAAAAATTAAAAAATTAAGAAGATGACATTAAGCTCTAGACTGAGAATACATTGAGCTTTTGATTCATTCACTCAGCCTGTAGTTTTTTTAAAAAAATGTTTTATTTATGTATGTATTTATGTATTTATTTTTGTGTGTGTGTGAGAGAAAGCATGGGTGAGAGGGAGAGAGCACGAGAGCACAAGCTGGGGAGGGCATAAGGGGGAGAGAGAGAATTTCAAGCAGGCTCCATGTACAGCTCAGAGTCCGATGCGGGGCTTGATCCCACGATCCCAGTATCATGACCTGAGCAGAAATCAAGAGTCAGATGCTCAAGCGACTGAGCCACCCAGGCGCCACCCCGCACCCCCCCCCCCCAACCTGTACTTCTTGAGGGCCTATTCTGGGCATTTTCTAGGTGCCAGGAATTCAGTGAGAACAATAAACAATAAACCCTTCTCTCGTGTAGTTTACATTCTGAAGATAAGGAAGCAAATCAAGTAGAACGAACCCGTCAGTTTTACATTGTATTAGAAGTGATGCCCTAAATGCTAGGGAGAAAAATAAACCGAAGAATGGTATGGGGTGAAGGGGGTTGTAATTAAAATTAGGATTTTCAGGGAAGGGCTCATAGGGCAGATTGCCCTTGTGCAACAACCTGTAGAGGGTGAGGGAGAAAGGATAGATATCTGGACGGATGTCTGCAGACTACTCCACTCATCTTTCAGGGCCCAAAACAAGCTCCCTAAATCCCCTTGCTTATTAAAATCGTGACCTACCAATCTGGAGTGGTTTGCCTTGGTCTTTAGTTTCTCCCTGTGCTCCATGCACTGGGGCCATTTTCAGATCACACCTGAGAAGCTCCTGAGATGGTTGCAAACCAACAAGGACTCTTTGTCATGAGATAGAGAGCAAGTGGAGGGTCCTGGGCTCAGAGGATGCTTTAAAGAATCATTCCGACCAATGCTTTGAAAGTAGCCTGTAGAGCCTTCAGGGTGGAAGCAGGGAGAGCAGAGGGAGGTGACTGCAGTAATCCAAGGTGAGATGATGGTGGCAGATCAGGGTGTCTGCAGAGAAGCAGAACTCTCTTAACATAGTATTTTGAAGAAAGAGTGGCGGTTTGCTACTTCCTGCCTTCTGAGAGAGGGGAAGAAGGAAAGCCGAGGACTCAAAGTTGTTGGTGTTCCAGCAATGGGAAAGGATGTGGTTGCCACTCTCCACTCCGCCCCCCCCCCCC